AGCAGCGGTTCTCAACCTGTGGATCGCAACCCCTTTGGTGGTCGCCTAAGACCATCCTGCATATCAGATATTTACATTACGATTCATAACAGTAGCAACATTACAGTTATGAAGTAGCAATGACAATAATTTTATGGTTATGTCACAACATGAGGAACTGTATTTAAAGGGCCCGAAAGTTGAGAACCACTGCTATAGAGCATGCTGGTCATTTCCACCCCTTTCTTTTACTTTTTATTAAGTTGATTATCTATCCTATATAATAAAAGGCTAATATGCAAATTGACCAAATGGCGGAATGACCAGTTGCTATGATGTGCACTGACCACCAGGGGGCAGACATTCAATGCAGGAGCTGCCTCCTGGTGGACAATGCACTCCCACAGGGGGAGTGCCGCTCAGCCAGAAGCTGAGCTCACAGCTGGTGAGCACAGTGGCGGTAGAGGAAGCCTCTCCTGCCTCCGTGGCAGTTGGACATCCCCTGAGGGCTCCTGGACTGCGAGAGGGCATGGGCCAGGCTGAGGGACCCCCCCTCCCCTAAATGCACAGATTTCATGCACTGCGCCTCTAGTCTACTTATATAAAAAACCTGGGTGTAATATCACATCCAGAAGCTCGACCAACTGGAAGGAAGTCAGTCCTGCAGGGGTCGTCTTGGAAACGGCTGCGCCCTCCCCCAGCTGTTTCCTGGAGGGCGAGGTTTCAGGCAGGAACCCGCCCTTGGAGCAGAGAGTGGAAGTAGTAAGTCCGGCCTTCAAACCAGACCCTGACAGTAGGGAGGAGGCAGCCCCATTCCTCACAGAATCTGCTGTTGGATAGCTTGATGTCAGTGGCCTGCCAGCCAGGAACCCCATTCACCTGCACCCCGGACACTGACAGGAGGGAGGAGGGAACCCCATTCCTCACAGAATCGACAGGTGGCCAACTTGCTGTCAGGGGCCTGCCAGCTAAGAATCCTATTCGGTTGTGGTGGTACTGTTTTACCCACAGCGTCTGCAGGAATTGCTGCAAATTTACTTCTCGGTGAAAGCACCTTTCATTCCCAATATAAATTACCGATTCCATTAAATGAAACTTCAATTTCTAGACTCAATATAAAGAGTGAAGTTGCTAAAACTATTAAAAAGGCCCAACTTCTCATTATTGATGAATGCACCATGGCATCCAGTCATGCTATAAACGCCATAGACAGATTACTAAGAGAAATTATGAGTCTGAATGTTGTATTTGGTGGGAAAGTTCTCCTTCTTGGAGGGGATTTTCGACAATGTCTCAGTATTGTACCACATGCTATGGGATCGGCCATAGTACAAACAAGTTTAAAGTACTGCAATGTTTGGGGATGTTTCAGAAAGTTGTCTCTTACAACAAATATGAGATCAGAGGATTCTACTTATAGTGGATGGTTAGTAAAACTTGGAGATGGCAAACTTGATAGCAGTTTTCATTTAGGAATGGATATTATTGAAATCCCCATGTGAAATGATTTGTAATGGATCTATTATTGAAGTCACCTTTGGAAATAGTATATCTATAGATAATATTAAAAATATATCTAAACGTGCAATTCTTTGTCCAAAAAATGAGCATGTTCAAAAACTAAATGAAGAAATTTTGGATGTACTCAATGGAGAGTTTCACACATATTTGAGTGATAATTCCATTGGTTCCACAGATGATGCTGAAAAGGAAAATTTTCCCTTTGAATTTCTTAATAGTATTACTCCTTCGGGAATGCTGTGTCATAAATTAAAATTGAAAGTGGGTGCAATCATCATGCTATTGAGAAATCTCAATAGTAAATGGGGTCTTTGTAATGGTACCAGATTTATCATCAAAAGATTACGACCTAACATTATTGAAGCTGAAGTATTAACAGGATCTGCAGAGGGAGAGGTTGTTCTGATTCCAAGAATTATTTTGTCCCCATCTGACACTGGCCTCCCATTTAAATTGATTCGATGATGGTTTCCCATGATGCCAGTATTTGTGATGACTATTAATAAATCACAAGGATAAACTCTAGACAGAGTAGGCATATTCCTACCTGAACCCGTTTTCGCACATGGTCAGTTATATGTTGCTTTCTCTCAAGTTTGAAGAGCATGTGACGTTACAGTTAAAGTTCTAAATACTTCATCACAAGGGAAATTAGTCAAGCACTCTGAAAGTGTTTTCACTCTTAATGTGGTGTACAGGGAGATATTAGAATAAGTTTAATCACTTTATCAGTCATTGTTTGCATCACTGTTGTTTTTATATCATGTTTTTGTCGTTTTTATATCATGCCTCTGTTGTTATATCCTTTTGTTACTGTTTATTTATTAATAAATTTATATATTATTTTCATATACATTTTACTAATTTCCTTTCATCTCACACTTCTATTACAGAGAAAGGGCAAATAGCAATATTAAACTATCTCTGCTAATTAATTCCCTTTTAATGTGCATGAATTTTGTGCACCGGGCTACTAGTATATATATAAAAGGCTAATACACTGTCTGACTGCCCGACTGGTCGCTATGACATGCACTGACCACCAGGGGGCAGACACTCAATGCAGGAGCTCCCGTGACGTGCACTGGTCATTTACAGAGGAACAGCACCTTGGACCTGGCACCCACAAAGCAACACTCAGCTTCTCCCAAGTGGGACACAGGCCTTGCCACCACCCCAGAGCAACACCCCACCTAATCGCAGCCAATGCTGCCAAGACCCCATGGGGCAAAATGCAGCCCACTGCCGAGCCCAGCCCGGAAACGGTGGCTGTGGGCACCAGGTAATTACATCATGTAGCAACACCCAGCTTCCTCTCCCTAGCGACTAGCCTCCTTGGAGTTTCTTTAGCCCAGGAACATGACTTGCTTTATAGCCAGGTGCAAACATTTTACACTTTAACCAAATGTCTGTGAAGCGTTTTCCCATGCCTTATCTTATTTGATCCTCACAGAAGTCCTGGAGTAGGTCGACAGGAGACTCCGTGAAATCCTATTTTCTTTTCATTAGCCAGAAAACGGAGATTTAGAAAGCTTAGAAACTTGACCCAACTGAAAAGAAGTAAGAAATGGTGGACCTTGAAAATGACTTCACATTTTCTCACTGTGCAGAATATAGTCAAACACTGCTACAGTTAAATATTTTACCCTTTGTTCTCCCTGCGTGATCTACAATAATAATCTGCTTCATGTTGATATTTACTGCTATGTTGCTGATAATTACCTGAAAGAGAAATTGGGGTGCTTCACTGGGCTGGAAAAAGTTTAGCTAAATCAGAAAGCAGGTCTAATTAAGCAAGTTTATCTATATATGTAAAGCTCTCGCTGGTGCCAATCACATGCATGTGTTTTGATCTGTCATTGTCGATCGTGAATTTGGTTGACACTTCTGTTATAGAGAAAGGTCGAATAGCGATATTAAAATATTTCTTCTAATTAATTTCCTTTCAATGTGCACAAATTTGTGCACCGGGCCACTAGTGTGATATAAAGGAGTGATTTGGCCCAACTTATGTATGTGGGCTGGGAGCTCGGGTGGCTTCTCTGGGCAATTCTGACTCTGGGGTCTCAGACGAAAGTTGTCTATCTTCTTGGGAAAAGTGTCTGTTTAGGTCCTCTGCCCATTTTTTAATTGGATTGTTTGCTTTTGTTGTTGAGTTGCATGGGTTCATTATGTATTTTAGATGTTAGCTCCTTGTTGGAAATATTGTTTGCAAATATCTTCTCGCATTCGGTTGGCTGCCTTTTTCTTTTGATGATGGTTTCTTTTGCTGTGCAGAAGCTTTTTAGTTTGATGCCGTCCCATTCATTTATTTTTGCTTTTACTTTCCTTGCCTTTGAGGTCAATTCACAAAATCCTCTTTGAGATCAAGGTCCATAAGTTTAGTACTCATGTTTTCTTCCATGTATTTTGTTGTTTCAGGTTTTATATTTAGGTCTTTATCATGCTAAGAGAAATAATTCAGACAGGAAAGGACAAGAATCATATGATTTCATTCGTGGGAAATAAAAAAGAAAGCAACAAATGAAACAAAATTAATAAACTCTTAGACACTGACTGACAAGAGTATGCTAGTTATCAGAGGGGCAGGACGTGGGGGGAGGGCTGAAGAAGGTAAAAGGGGGTCTAATATATGGTGATGGAAGGAGACTGGACTGTGGGTGGTGAGCACACAATACAATATACAGATGATGTATTATACAGTTGGACACTGCAACTTCTATAATGTTATTAACCAATGTCACCTCAATAAAATTAATTTTAAAAAATTGTGGTTTCCAGCTGGGGTTGCATCACCTGAAGGTCTGAGAGGGGCTGCAGGGGCTGCTTCTACGGTGGCCCACTCATGAGGCGGGAGGGGTGCTGGCTGTCGGCAGGAGGCCCATCCTCTGCTGAAGGCCCCTTTCCACAGTGCTGCCGAGGGTCCCCGGGGCATGGCGGCCTCCTCCAGGGCAAGTGATTGAAGGGAGAGCAAAGTGGAAACTGTCATGTCTTCTGACGAGTCTGGGAAGTCCCACACTGTCATTGGTACTGTATCCTATCGATTACCAAGTCAGTCCTAGTCTTGTGGGAGGGACTACATAGGAGGTGAAGACCAGGAGGTGAAACTCATGGGAGGGGGCATCATGGAGCTTTGATAGGCCACCTATTAACTGTAATAGGATTTACTTAATATTGCCTACTTTTTACTAAAATTAGCTTTATTCTAAATAATGCCTATTAAGTCCCCAGACTCATGTGCTAAGTATCTTTATCAATACAAATGAACATAAACTTAGAGTTACTGATTAAAAAGAATGCTCTTGCACCACCTGTGCTCACCTGCATGCTTACAGTGACACAAACACCCCCCCACCCCCCACCCCCACGGGGAACAAAGAGCCGACCGATGGAGGCTGGTGGCTTTCTGGTGTTTGGTCATGCCTCCCAGCTATTCCCTGCTGTCCGCTTGGAACCCGAGAAATGCCGGTGCTGATGGGCCATTTGCTGTCTTCCTCTAGGACCGCCTGTACTTCGTGATGGAATACGTGAATGGCGGTGACCTCATGTACCACATCCAGCAGGTTGGCCGGTTTAAGGAGCCTCATGCTGTGTAAGTGAGAACCTTGCTGTGCATTTCCCTGGGGACATGCGGGTGAGTTGACAAGCTTGCCCAGGGTGTCTGCTAAGATCTCATGGCCCTTCAGCAAGCCCTCGGGGTTCCCTCGGGGCCCCATCCTGTCATTCCAGAGGCTGCCGTTCAGCTCAGCCCTGCCCTGTCCTCCCACCTGCCCAGGCTGTGACCGCTATATGCTGGTAGAGTTGCATTCTTCTGCTTCCAAATCCTGCCACTTGCATATCTTGGTACAATTGCAATGGCAATGTGAGCTCAGAGTTGTCTCTCTTCTTCAGCTTCTAATAGGGGACTATAAGCCTTAATCCTATTCTCTCTCTCTCTCTCTCTCTCTCTCTCTCTCTCTCTCACACACACACACACACGCCCCAAAGCCCTGCCCAGCCCTGTGCTATAACCGGCCTTCAGTAAGAGCTCTCCCACCCTGGCCTACCATTTATCAGTTGTATAACTTGGCCAAGTTTTTTCATGCCACTGAGCCTCGGTTTCCTCATTTAAGGAGCAGGGAGGTAATAGTAGAACCCACCTCACCAGACTGCAGTTAAGATTGAAACAGATAGTAACCCACAATGATGCTAGATAAAGGGCCAGCCTTCAGCAGATGGCAGCTGCTATTATTAAGCTACTAGAGGCCTGGCGCACGGGTACGGTCCTTAGGCCTGGCCTGCTATCAGGGCCATCTTCCCCAGCTACCCACAGCTGACCCTGCCCCCTGCCGCCACCCACCCCCAGTTCCCCATTCACCATTGGGTGATCGATGCCTGACAGCCAGGGGAAGGTACCCAGAGGTCGGCTGTTCACACCTGCTCGCCGGCCCTGCCCCCGCCGCAGTGGCTATCAGTTGATCGGAACCTGCCAGCCTGGGAAAGGGACCAAGAGGTAGTCAGTGAGCCTCATAGTGACTGGTCCATTGGTCATTCTGGTCATTCCTCCATTAGGGTCAATTTGCATATTACCCTTTTATTATGTAGGATTTTAACTTGGTGTACTCTGAACTGACTCTTCTCCAGCTAGTCCATCATATCCCATGGCCTCCTCCCCACCAGGCAACTGCTGACCCTCTGCCCACCCCAGTGGATCTTTAGGGCAGTTATCTAAACCCTGCTCACCCATCCACACTCCGTACTTTGTTTTATGAGATGTGTGGCTGGCCATCCATGACAGGCATTGATGTCCTACACCCAGTTCAATGTTGTACGGAATTCTGAGAGTTGCCAAGCATATGGTGTCCTTGAACTTCTCGTGGCTTTTGTTTATTTCAGATTTTACGCTGCAGAAATCGCCATCGGCCTGTTCTTCTTACAGAGCAAGGGCATCATTTACCGGTACGTGAGCTGCGTGCTTTCCCCCGCATGGCCTTTGCTCCTCCCTTCCCTGCCTCTTTCTTTAACCGCTTTTAAAATAGATTCCGTGGTGGTGGAGGAGTCCTCCCAGGCTAACTCGGGCATGTGCTCCACCGGGCAGAGGCAGTGTCACCCACTGCCCTGGCAAAGTTCGGGCAGCTTTGTGTGGTGATACCTCCCTGCTCTCCGCCACCAGTGATGGTTTGCACCTCAAACCCGAGGCCATTTGTTCTAAGAGGAGGCTCAGCAGTAGGCCCAGCACTTCTTCCTCTTGCCTGGAGACCCCACATTTGCACATTTGGGGAGCAAGCAAAGCATCTTGTTTAGCAGAACATGATAGATCATATTATTATGAGACGGGTTGTGTTGTTTTGCTAAGTAATCACAATTCAGAAATGGATTTCTGAGTAGCTTGCCCTGAAAGACAGGATTAAGTTTGGGACTTGGCATTTGACCATGTTTGGAGGAGCAAGTGTATGATCACAGCTGCGTGAGTCAGACTCTCCTATTTCATGCAAGGCAGACTGCTGAGCCGGGCTGCTGTCTGTCAGTGAGTCGGGGTGTGCAGTTCTCGCAACCACATGGACGCACACCCCACAGACAGGGCCGGCTGCGCTGCTGCTACGCAAGAGGGTCTGGCAGGGGCTTAGGGTTCCAAAGGGCATTTGCCACGTGTGGGATCTATTGAAGTCCATTTCATTCATTCATTTGACAAACATTTATCAGAACCCCACCGTGTACTGTGATGGGAATACAGCTGTGAAAAAACAGGGCTAACCGCCCGCCTTTGTGGAACTGATACTCTGGTGGGAGACAGACGCGGAACCAGGCCTAGGCCGCCGAGCAGTGATGAGTGCTGGGGGGGAAGAGCGAGCAGGGAGAGGGCTCGGTGTGCTGGGCGGTGTGGTGCCCGCCATTCTGCAGACGGCGTGGGATGAGGGTCTGAAGAGTTAGAGGGACCTCAGAGTCCTGGACCTCTTAAAGCAACCAAAGGATTGGGACTAAAAGGCGTAAAGGGATCAGGCCTGGTGGTCTCAAGCAGATAGGGTGGTGGCCTGTGGGTGCTGGTGGCATGGAGGGACGGAAGGTGGGGCCTTGCCAGAAGCCTGCAGAGTCCTGGCTTATGGCTCCTGGAAGTGGCGGTATGAAGTCTAGCCAGGGAGGGACGATCTTGTCCTGACGACACGAAGCCCCCACGCCCCCTTTACTCCTGGTGCCAGGGGGCGGGGGGGGGGGTCAGAGAGGAGTGGCTTCAGCTGGTGCTTGGGACAGAGGGGATAATCGTGTGGACTGCACGCCGTGTGGTCGTTCCGCCATGCTTGCCCTCACTGCCCACGCGGACCTGTGAAGCCTCAGTTTCCCCGCGCTGTCACGGTGTAGCATCTCGGTGTTCCGAATGCAATGCTGGTGTTGGCAGCTACACATGTTCTGTGTGACGTGAGCCTTGAATCAAAGCCAGTGACCTCCCTGTGCCTAACGGTCCTAACCTGAGAGGCAGGGTTGGGTGACCGCTCCCTCTGATTTTCCCCTTACACGTTGACCTTAGAACCTGACCCTGTACAGCGCTCAGGTTGCTGGGGGGTCGAACATGGGACTGCAAGTTTCTTGAAGAAAATCTTGTTCCAGGGAAGGAATCCGAAGAGGAAATAAGAATCTTTGTCCACTGGGTTGGGATCAGGGTGAGGTTTCCAGTTGGGATCAGGGATGTGGGAGACAGGACATGGCCATTCAGGCCATAAAAATCCCGAGGTCAGCATCTCGGGCGCTCAGCATGCTTCACTCCAAAGCACTTTCTCTGAGTGCATGCGCTTCCACGCTCCCTCACGTCTGAGGTGGTTTCAGGAGCTATTCATTATCCCTTTAAGCCACTTGGCGTCTGAGCCCAGGCATTTGTGTGTAGCAAGAGTCCGCCTCCCACTGTGCAGATTCAAAATGCAGATACTCGCTCAGCCCCCGTAGCCAGGCCAGGCACACAGCCCAGGCTCTGCCGCTTGGCACGCTGGCCGAGACCTTGAATCGGAAGTTAGTGACCGAGGAAGCAGAGACTGGCCCTCGAAATCAGCCCCACCTAGTTCCCAGGGTGAGAGGGGAAGCGGTTCTTAGTAGCAACATCCAGAGGGCAGCCCCCGGGCTCCATGGAAGGAGGGCGAGTCCGTGCCGGGGCAGCCTGGGGGCGGCGGGGCGGGGGGGGGGGGAGGGGGGGTGTCTTTCCTGCCAGCTCCGTGCTGCACTTAGGCCTCCGTCTTAGGCCTCAGCTCCCCAGGCTCCATGAGCTACCCATTCCCTTTAAAACATCCTTTTTAGGTGGAAATAGAGTTTGCTTTTGTTGCTCACATGAAAGAATCTCAATTAAGACAGAGTTTGTGAAACTGATAAAGTAAAACTATAAAAACATTACGTGACAGCGCGTGGGCTTCTTAATGTCATTGAGATTGCCTTCATGGCGGCACGATCTTTTCCAATGTCACAAAGCCCTCCCCCTTTATTTAGTGCCTCAGCGAAGAGGTGAGCGAGTGTGTCAGACTTGCCTCTCTGAGGACCGTGCTGGGGGTGTTGGGGGGACGGGGCCGGGGGGACAGAAGAGCCTTCCTGCCAAACTTAGTATCAAAGGAGGGTATTACATTGAGCAAAAGAGGACTCTCAAACCACGCCGTGTGCAGCGAGTACACCTGGGTGTTCTCTACCCTAAGGCCTGTGGCTCCTGACACTCCTCTCCTGTAACGTGAAGATCTTACCCCTTCTCTCTCCAGTGCCCAGCTACTTGTGTGGGGGCATGGGGTCAAGATGAGGGGGCTGTCATGGGTCCCCGGTGACCAGAGCACGTAGACTAGTGTGTCTAGGCAAGGCACGTTTCTGCAGAGCCCAGTTTCCCTAAGTTCTGAGCTAGCATGCAGGGACCCCGGCTTGTAGATAAGCATGAGGCTGGAAAGGGGTAGCACCATGGACAGCACCAAAGATAGTGGACGCCAAGCCGGGGTGCAAGTGAACCGTCCCCCTCCCCCCCCCCCGCACACGGCCCCCCCCCCCCCCCCCGAAGAAGAGACCTCGCAGACACAGGTAGGAGGTGCCAGCATATGTGTCCAGGTTGTGTTCCTTTAGTTGAAAATGCGACAGCAACTCAACTCAGACTAACTTAAGAGGCATGTTGGGGCTCAATCCCGGGAGTGTGCAGGAGGCGGCCAATCGGTGACTCTTTCTCATCATTGATGTTTCTATCTCTCTCTCCCTCTTCTTCTCCCTTCCTCTCTCTGAAATCAATAAAAAACATATTAAAAATAACAATTTTGTGAAAAAATCTCTTCTATGAAATGCAAGGGGTCCTTAAGTTATACACGTCAGTCCGTGAGGTGTGCCTGGACCTCTGCCCTTCATTAGCATCCAGCATCCTGGGGGTGTCTTCTCCCGCCCGGCGTCTCGCTGGGCCTCGCGAGAAGCTGGGCGCAGTTGGCTGTGCAGAAAAAGCAGCACACAGGGGTTTGTGGACCTTTCCTGATCTTCCTGCCAGGTGATCGGCTACTGGAGGGCCAGGGCTGCTTCACACGCCCTTCTGTCCCCCACACACCCAGCACAGTGCCTCGCACAACGTGAGTGGCCGTTGGTTGACTTAAATAACGTGTATTAAGCCCCTACATTCTTATGTTCACAACAGTGACCTAAAACTTGACAACGTGATGCTGGATTCCGAGGGCCACATCAAGATCGCCGACTTTGGCATGTGCAAGGAGAACATCTGGGACGGGGTGACCACCAAGACGTTCTGCGGCACTCCGGACTACATCGCCCCTGAGGTGAGCACACCCCGGCTCGTGCCCGCGCTGCGTCCCCACCCGGTGCTGCGCCCCCACCCCGTGCTGCGCGGAGCAGCCCCCCTGGCCCTCTGAGCTGTCGGTCCTTAGAGATCACACATGCAGATTCGCTTAGCACACACCCAGAGCTCAGGCCCAGATACACCCAGGTTTGGGAGAAAGCTTAATTACACTCAACAGAACCATCCACCACAATCAGCAAAATCCTCCTTCAGCTACTGTGGCTCATGGCCATGTGGTGCCTGCTTATTGTGACATCAGAATGTTTGTGAAGGTGGGAGAGGTCCCTGGGCTGGTGTGAGGCGGGAGGCAGTAGGTGTCTGAGCCCTGGAAGACCTGGCGTTCCTTCCTGTGATGCAGGTACGAATGACAGGGTAAAGGTCGAATTCTAGTCTCCCTTCCCGAAGGAGATGGTCAGTTGCAGAATGAGTTTCCCAACACGCCGTGGTACAAACATTTGTGCCAGGTGATACTTCCCTTTTTCTCTGGGTTGGTGCCCAGAGAGGTGACTGTATGTACAGTCTGCTTCTGGTTTCTAAGGAATGGGACTGAGGGTGTGGCATAGCATCTTGGAAATGGACATCCTAGGCTTGTCTGTCACCTCACATGGAACTGGTGACTGGAGGCCCCATGTAACTAATAACGTGGCACAATATTTAAATCCTACATTCTCTTTCACCAAAGCAGGTCCGCTCCTAGGAACCTAGTTTACATCACGGACACGTACACACACACACACACATGCACTTGCACACGCACGCACGTGCACATGCACACACACACACACACACACACACACACACACACACGCGGGTGGGGAGGCGGCCCCTCTGCAGCCCACAAGGAGCAAGCTGAAGGCGGGCCTCCCGGCTTCGCCATCCACACCTCCTCAGGCTCGCTTTCCTTTGTGGCAGGATTGGTTAGGTTGTCGTGGGGATCCAGTTGAGGTGACGTGCTTCACAAGTGTGACGTGCTTCACAAGTGTGCAGGAGCGTCCTCTGGGGCTCACGCATGAGCGCATTTCTACCCGCGTGGGAGCGCATTTCTACCCACGGCGCTGGATCGGTGGACCCCGTTTGTTAGGAAGCACTTATTTAGCCACACAAGCAGTCACTGAATTACAGGACTTCCCAGTAATAGCAAACATCTGAGGGCATGATATGTGACGGCACATGTTTCTCTTCCATCCTCACAAAACCCTGCGACATGGATACTATTATAAACTGAGGAAACTGAGGCTTAGGGAAGGTAGGCAACTCCTTCCAAGTCACACCACTGGGAGGGAGTGGCGGTCAGGATCCAAGTCTGGACTGCTTCCCCAGACCTTCACCTTCCACCTTTGCTCTTTCACCTCTGAACCCCTCCGACAGAGTTTTACACCCGATCAGAAATGTGGATGCTCATCGGTATTCTAGACACTCCCATGCCCTGGCAATTTGGTACTAAGTGTCAAAACCCTGATCACTGTGTATAGTGTTTGAGCCCTGAAAATCCGCGTCTAGGAATTCATCTTTTTCTTTTTTTAAAAAAGTATCACTTTATTTGTGCCCTTGAAAAGTTGTACATAGAAATGTATAATACAGTCTGTAAACAGGGAGGGTGCTGCCTCCACACTGCCTTCCGTCTTAGGGACCTGACTTACAGAAATAAGGGGACACATGTGGAAATGCCTCCTTACAAGAGTCTGTATTGTAGCGTCAGGAGAAACCCGCCCGTTGGGAATTGGTGAGACAGGTTTTGTAGCCAGGCAATGGGGCGCTATATCAAGTTAAGCCTGAGTATGTTGACATAGAAGTATTAACATGGAAATGTTAAGTGACTAAAGTACTTTATTAATATTTCATACATCAAAGTATTTATGTTTATGTAAAACACATACACACAGAGTTTAATCTCTATTCATGGAAAAGAATCTAGAAGGAAATAGACCAAATATCAATCATAAGTTTTCTCTCGATAAAGGATTATGGGTGATTTTAATGGGATTCTCTTAGCTTATCTATATTTTAAAATAAATAGTAAACTATTAATAAATGCTATTACATGTGTTCACTTAAAATTTTTAAATTTTGGTAAGTAAAAGCTTAAAATTTGCCATCTTAACCATTTCTAAATGTACAGTTCAGTAGTGATAAGTACATTCACATTGTTGTATAAATGTTATTACTTTTGTAATGAGAAATACAGTTTTTCTTCTTAAAAGTTCACACTCGCTGTATTAAAATTAAAAAGAGTGCACATAGCAGTGACTCGACAGGCCACGTGGCATGCACTGGCGTCCCCGGCCTGAGGCCGCTGCCGGGGGACCCCTCTCCCCATGGGGAGCAGCAGCTTGCCTGGCACCAGCTCCCTGTCCACTGCTTTAGACGGCGGCCTGCACCTGGGACTGGGACAGTCCGTTTAACCTTTCGCAGTAGGCAGGTGACCTCCCTCCCCCGCCACCTGGCCGTCCACTCTCACTGCAAAGGTGTGTGTCCAGGCTCCGGCTGCAGACACCTGCTCGCCCCCTGACGGGCTGCCTTCTGTCTTCCAGATCATTGCGTACCAGCCCTACGGGAAGTCGGTGGACTGGTGGGCATTCGGAGTCCTGCTGTATGAGATGCTGGCCGGGCAGGTAATTGAATTTGAGTGATTTGTAGGAAAAGGCCTCCCACCACCATCTGCGTGGCTTCCCTGCAAGAGAGTGTCAGCTTGATCCCCGCTCATCAGTCTGAAGCTCTCTGACTTCGTGCCTTGTGGCGGCCCTCGTCTTGGCCGATTTTCCTCCTCTTCTCGCTGGAAGCCTGCAGCCTCCCCGTGGGCCAGGGCGGAGGTGCTGGCTCGGGAGGCTGAGGCAGGAATCCGCTCGCCCACTCGCCCACTCGCCCACCTGTCCTCTGTCCCGCAGGCGCCCTTCGAAGGGGAGGACGAGGATGAACTCTTCCAGTCCATCATGGAGCACAACGTGGCTTACCCCAAGTCCATGTCCAAGGAGGCCGTGGCCATCTGCAAAGGGGTGAGTGAGCGCCTCGAAGCCAGGGCCTCCACGCACAGGGTGCCCCTCCCAGGGAGGAGGGAGGAGACTGAGCTCCACCTCTCACCCCACTGGCCACCCCCAAGCCCCAGAGGAAAGGGCGCTTTTTCTCGTTTGCGCTGTCCAGGCCACCCGGAGCGGCATCTCGCTGCTGGCGGGCTCCAGCCTCTGGCCCAGCATGGGCGCTGCCTGGCGTGAATGAGGCAGGGAGCCCAGGGGCTTAGCCGAAGAGCTGGAACCACGGAAAGGTGGAGGTCTGAGGCACGGATCCGGCAGCCGTGCCGGCTCAGCGCATGAGTGTGGTTAACACTGAGCGCCTGGCTTTGTTTGAAGAAAATACCAGGGAGTGCTGCTTTTGAGGGGTTCTCCAGATGAGCGACCCAGATTCCGTTTCCTAAGCCGCCCCAACACACAGAGGGCTGCGAGCAGCACATGGTGCACGTGAGAGGCAGGCAGGGCCCTGTTCCTAAGGGTCGCGAGGTGCGTCTGGTGCTGGGCCAGGAGGCCTCGCAGGGCCGGGCCAGTCCCTGGAGGCCCGTGGGCTCACCTTTGATGCCTCTTGGATGACCTCATGTGCTTCTGCAGTTTGAAAAGGTCCCTGTGCGTCTAAACATATTATCCAGAGGTGGTCACTTTTCCTGTGACGGAAGTGTGCAAGAACATGGGACCTCCGGACACTAGGGCCCGGAAACGCTGCCTTTTGAAGTCAGCTCTCCCTGCAGTCCGTGGTGCAGGCGTGTTCTTGAGGTTAGGGCGTGGCTGTGTCTTCTAGAGGGTTCCTGTGTGTGTCTGAATGAAGCAGGCCTGCAGTCCCAGATCCTGGGGTGTCTGCAGATTTCCCGTTGTCTTCCTCCCCTTCCCCAGCACTGCTCCGTTGTCTTCAGAGGCCATGGAGCTGGCCTGGGTGTGGGCAGCTTGGACCAGCCTCTCAGTCTGGACGCACCTCGCCACGCTGGCTGAATTCCCACTCTTAGTGAGTCGCCTGAGCTTGGCGGTTCAGCTGCCTCTGTTAATGTGCAAATGTCCCTGGAAACCGCATGTGAATTAGGCTCAGTCTCGAACATCTTAAAGTGACTTGGTTACAAGTATTTTTGTTGAGGTTTGAGGCACGGGCAGAGAATTGAGACCTGCAGGTTCATTAGGAGCCAAAGAGAGGCTTGTAGAGAAAAGAGAGCCTGGGGAGGCGGTGCAGGCCCTGAGGGTCTGGGTGGGAGGGAGAGGCGTGCCTGAGCCTTCCGTCTGTTTGGTGGCTGCGGGCATTGAAAAATCAGGATTTCCCACAAGCATTCAGCTGCCAGTTTCCCTTAAAACACGCGGTCTCAGTCCGCTGGCTTGGAAACCAGTGCCCCTCCAGACAGACCACCCTCTCCGATCTGCCAGGGGCCACCTGGGCTCAGACCTGACCCTGGCCTGCTAGCCCTTGGACCGCAGGGATGTTGTCTGCCCACATGTGTAGATCAGGGATGCTGACGGGCCTACACACGGGGTCCTCGGTGACTCCAGGCGGTGGTGCGTGTGAATGGGAACAGCGCCGGGGGCTCTGCCCCAGCCCTTGAGCTATGGTTACTGTTGCTAGTGCTGGCACTGCCATGTCACATGCCGGCTCCTCTGGGCATTTGGGTTTGCACCCCTCACGATTGGAATTTTTAAAGTGGGGGGTTTTGAATTTTTAAAGTGGGGGGTTTTGGAGATAAGAGCCCTTTGCAGATCTTGACCTTCCACCTCCTGGGAGCATGGTTTGAAGCAAGTCACTTTGACGCGGGCGGGGGGGTTATCTCTAAAAAAGAAACAATAGTATTCATTGGACAGAGTTTGTGAGAGCGTTAAAGAACCTAACCTAACAGGAAGCTCCTTGAGTGGTGTTGCACACAGTAGGTGCTCAGTGCACGCTCAGGGCCTGCCCCTCGCTCTGCCGGCCTGCACAGCGGGGCTGAGGCAGCCACAGGGCGAGTGTCCAGGTCTCAGATTCAGCTCCAGTTAGCAGCTCCCTGGGAGAGCAGATTTCTGTTAATTCAGGACCCAGAACCTTCAGGGTTCACAGGGGCGACTTTCCAGCCACGAGGCTGGGGGCTGAGTTGAGTGGTCTGAGTCCCGTGTGGGCTTTTCTCAAGGCCGAGCCTCCAAAGAAGGGGCGATGCTCAGGGAACAGCCGAAGGCTTCCTTTCAGTGCCCCAGGCGTCCGTCTGGGAGGCCCTCGGGGACGGGCGCTGATGAACTCCAGCTTCTGCACCAGCCGGTGGGGACCGCAGAGCCTCGCTGAGTGCCGCTGTGGCCGCAGTGGCTTGGCAGCTCCCCGTACATGAAAATTAAGCCAGGCTCTTGAATGAAGTCCCAACCCCAGTGAAAATGCTCTTCCTATATCCATCCTGACAGACCCTATTTTCTACCAAAGAAAAACATCAGCACATCTCTGCTCAGACTGCCACGCCGGCTTTGAACAGCCGTCCAGCGTGGAGGCAGGAGGGGCTGTGGGCAGAGCCGCGGGCCGGGGGTCGGGCACATCTGCTCGGCCACTGCTGCTGCTTCGCTGTGCGGCTTGGGACGAATGGCTCCTTTACCGGACCCAGCCTCTTTGTCTGGAAGTGAGGATAAGAGTTGCTAAGGCCTCCGAGTGTTGTGGAGACGGAGGTGTAACGTGGCACGGGAAGCCGTGGGCATGAGCCTGCCCCGTGCACGGAGCCCTCCTGATGGTGGTGGTGGTGGTTCTGTGGCCACTGTCCATAGCCTTCCCGTCCTCCATCCTGACCCTACACAGATCTCAAGGCTCAGCTCCGTTTGCTCGCCCTCCATGGACCCTCCCTGACCAAGCCACAGGTACCTCGGGAAACCGCACGCGAAGAGCTCTCCCATTCCTCTTAAAAGCCCACATTTTATGGTTAGAGGTGGGGTCAGTCTCGGCTCTGCCCCTTACGCTCTGTGAGTCCTTGCTAGTTGCTTAACCTCTGTGAGTGCCACCTGCCTTGTCATTCGATGGAGAAAATAAATACCCAGTGCATGGGGTGATTGTCAGAACCAGGTGGGGTTGTGTGTGTAAGTGAAGACGTAGCTTAGAACGCTACGTGCCCAGTTGTTCTCCCCTGGAAGGTGGAGCACATGTGGAAAGTTTGTGTGTGTGTGTGGGGGGGGGGGGGGTGGTGGGGGGAGAAGGTGGCGGAGATAAGTTATCTTGTAAGCAGGAATCAGCTGAGCGGAATGGCCAACAGAGTAGGTGTGACTGGCTGGGCCCCTCCCTTCCCCTCAATCAGCAAATCCTGGGCAACAATCTAAGAGCTCTGACGCCCTGGGCTCCTTGTGTCTGGTCAACGCTGGAAGCTTTTTGGACCTGTATGTCCCAATCACTTTTGTTTCGTCTCTTTTTTTAAAAGAATCCTCACCTGAGGATATTTTTTCCATTGATTTTTAGAGAGAGTGAAAGAGAGAGTGGAGATCAGGAAGGAGGGAGGGAAGGAGAGATTTATGTGAGAGAGACACATCGACGGGTTGCCTCCTGCACCCACCCCGACGGGGGCTGGGATCAAACCTGTAACCGAGGTACATGCCCTTGACCAGGAATCGAACCCATGACCCTTCAGTCCGAGGGCGATGCTCTAACCACTGAGCCGCCGGCCAGGGCTGTGTTTTGATGCCCTCTTGTCAGTACTTGTTAATAATCACCACTCCTCCTGTCCACCCTGTGCATTCGCTGAAGTGCCGATGGAGACACGTCCAAGCTCCTCTGATTCGCTCGCAAGAGGAAGTCTGTCTGGTTTAGCCTCGGAGCAGCTATTCATCTGGTCTCTTGCGCGGCTCCGAGGCCCGAAGATGGAGGGTTTGATAAGTAATTTCACAGGAGGCCCCTGTGGAGTCTGGGGGAGTGTGAGGCGAGGGAAAGGAGCCGGGCTGGCTTTGACGGTTTAATGAGCTTCGGGAAGTAATTACTTGAAACTTGGGCCCATCTGACTAGTATTTCCTTCTGCTTTCACGGAGGCTTACTGAGAAAGCCGACACTGTCTGGATGTGGCCGTGGCCAGGGCTATCCTCCGGCTTTTTCGTGGCGGGAGGAGGGCGGGAAGAGACCGGAGCTGCTCTCATCAATGCAGCAGTGATTGCATGAATCTTATTCTTGAACCCAGATTCATCGTGGTGACCTTTCTAACTTGAAGTCCGGGCCTCGGTTAACCACAGGGGTCTCGCCTTGGACGAGTAGCCTGCAGGCACTATTGTCGGGTCCTCCTGGTACAAAGCCCTTGGCCAGGAAAGCATTGCTGGGATGAAAAATAAAAAATGAAAGTTACTTGGGCCCTGGCTGGTGTTCTCAGTGGTCAGACCATCGGCCCACCGAGGGCACGTATCTCGATCCCCACCCTGGTCGGGCGCGTGTGGGAGGCAACCAATCGATGTCTCTCTCACATGGATGTTTCTCTCTCTCTCCCTCTCCTTTCATTCTTTCTAAAAAAAAAAATCAATGGAAAAAATATCCTCCGGTGAAGATTAACAATAACAGCAACAAAAAATTAGCTGGGGCTCTTTTTTTAAGTCCTTTTCCCAATTATAGTGTCCATGGATATTACTGTTAGTTTTGGCTGGGGCCCTGCACGGTCCTTCCTTCCCTAATTCCTTAGCGGGGTGCTCTGTGCCTCAGGCAGCTCCCCAGAGGTCACTAACCCCACCCTTTCTCTTTCTCTTGAAGCTGATGACCAAGCACCCGGGCAAACGTCTGGGCTGCGGGCCGGAAGGCGAGCGGGACATCAAAGAGCACGCGTTCTTCCGGTATATTGACTGGGAGAAACTGGAACGCAAAGAGATCCAGCCCCCGTATAAGCCAAAAGCCGTAAGTAGGCGTTCCCTCTGGCCATTGGCCACGAGTACACCCCGCGCTCTTTCCCCGCCCGCCCGTGTGCGCCCTCCCTGCTCTCAGAGGCGGGCGTGGACACGGGCACGTGGATCGCTCACATTTCTGTACAAAATCTCAGGTACAGAAATGGTGATTTCCATCCACGCAGCCTGGCCTCTATCAATGTGGGGGGACGATGGCTACCGAGGCTGTTCTATCAGTTCGGTAACTGTGACGGCCCTGCTGGCAGCGTTTCGGGACGGGGCTTTGGTGAGCAGGGTCAGCCCACTCGCAGATGTGGTCAAGAACCCCGTTTCCCCCTCGTTCTTCCCCCTTGGCCGGTGTGGTCTCTTCATGCTGCCACTGAAAAGGTCACGTCGTGTGTCTCCGCAGCATGTAAATTTAATTCTGAAACTCGCACCGTCTCAGTCAGTAAACAAGAGGCTCCCCCGAAAGGGAGAGAGATGAGACAGCAGCGGACCCGCTCACAGACGCCGGGAGCTTGTGTAGCACAAGGATGAAGGCCCCTTTCCCACCTGCACACACAAGGGTGCTCCGTCCCCAGAGACCCGCGATGCTTGTCAGCTCCTGGGTCAGGCAGATCGGTGTTCCGCTGGGGGATGTTCCTTGTTAGACTGAGTAGAGCGGAGACCCCGGGGCACTACTATGGGCTGTAAAACTGCTGACTGAGGCTGAAAGTGAGCATAAACATCGTCATAGAAACCTGCGGGTGTCAGGGACTCGGGTGTGAAGGAAACGACCATGGTCATGGTACACATTTTTATCAATTTTCTGGCCACTCACTATGTGCCAGGCACTGTATTAGGCACTTCACATGCAGCATCTAAGTCAGTGGTTCTCAACCTTCTGGCCCTTTAAATACAGTTCCTCATGTTGTGACCCAACCATAAAATTATTTTCATTGCTACTTCATCACTGTCATGTTGCTACTGTTATGAATCATAATGTAAATATCTGATATGCAGGATGGTCTTAGGCGACCCCTGTGAAAGGGTCGCTCGACCGCCAAAGGGGTCGCGACCCACAGGTTGAGAACCGCTGATCTAAGTCCTCACAATGACCTGCCCCTCCTTGTAATGGCAGAGGAAAGGGAGGCTGTGAGGTCACTCAGCCAGCGCGCCACAGTCTGGCCCGGCAGAGGCACAGAACGCCCGGGGCCAAGGGCAGGTGGTTTGAGAAAGTCTCCCAATGGCCTCTCATCGCCCCAGTCCTGCACGTCCCAAATGATTAGAAGACAGCAGCCCCGGTGAGTCCTGCTTCCATCTGGACATCTCCTGGTGCTCAGAGGCAGGCCCCTCCCGCCACACACACACTCACACATACATGTACCTGCAAGCATGTCTCATATGACATCACCTCCAAGTGCCTATTGTCCTCCAGGTAATCAACACTCATCTAAGATACACAGGACTGAGCTCAGTATTCCTAACAGTGTCTGACTCTCGGCGGATACAGCGGGCCCAACACACTCTTGATGACTCTAGCGATGGTGGACTTGGATGCGTGAGCTCCCCCCGGCCCCTCCGCGTCATCTTCTGTAACACAGGGAGGACCGTCTGCATAAAGCGCTCAGTATGCGCCTGCACAGGACAGTTGATAATGAGTTTCAGGGTCTCGGGCGCAGCATCTCTGAGGGGCACGGCGTCGCGTCCTGCTGATGCGATTGCTTAGAGTGCCCGTGTGTCCACTTGTGGCTGGAGAGGGGCCTGCAAGTCACAGGCAGCAGCATCGCTTTTATTACACCAGTTGGGAAGAAGTCAAGGGCAGTCTGGAAGAGAAGGATGGGTTGTCCATTCAGGAAACTGGAGGTGGACACCACTCATTGGAGTTTTGTGGGGCCATTCATGACGTCTCAAAACGGGGATCCCCTCCTCAGTGGGCCAGAGGAAGAATGCAAACGCTCCCATGCCCGCCGGCTCTGAGCCCAGCGACGTTGGGGTTCAGGCTTTGGTTGTAGGGCAGTGGTTTTCCGTGTGGCCTCCTGACCAGCGGTGTCAGCATCACAGAGCCGGTGGGCGGGGCCAGTCAGAGGCCGGGAGTGTGGCCAGAGAGAATCTCTGTAAGAGGAAGACACTGCTTCCCGCCCAGTCTGGGTGACAGCTCAGCTGCCTCCGAGGCAAGGCAGGCCATGGAAAGGTGGTCAGGGGAGGGGGCCAGAGCGCCAGCTACCAAGAAGGCTCACGGGTGTTCATTCCCAGCGGCCAGCAGGAGGGCCTGGTGGCCACCACTGGTATTGCAGTCTTTCATATTAGGCCGCAGCGCTGCCTTTGTCTGGGCTGGCCGGGCCTCCTGTGCAAGGAAGCAGGCACTGCACTGGTCCGTCCTCGTCAGCATTTTTATGTGAAATCTCACTATTTTTTATATCTTTGCAACAGATTTTATTTTTTATTTTTATAAAACATAGTTTTATTAATTTCAGAGAGGAAGGGAGAGGGAGAAAGAGAGAAACAGCAATAATGAGAGAGAATCATTGATCAGCTGCCTCCTGCACACCCCACACTGGGGATCAAGCCCACAACTGGGGCATGTGCTGTGACCGGGAATCGAACCGTGACCTCCTGGTGCATAGGTCGATGCTCAACCACTGAGCCACGCCAGCCGGGCAACAAATTTTTAAAAATTAAACATAATTCCGGCCGAATCAAATACATCCATAAGCCGTCTGAGGCTGTGGATGGTGAGTGTGCGGCCTCTGGGGAAGTCGGCTGACATTTAGTCCACTCCCATTGGTTCTGGTTATTCCCACCGAGTCCCCTCTGACTGGCCCAGCATTTTGACGATTCCTGCTAAGCAATAATGACTACAAAAGGTCGAGCCCAGTGTCTGGCTCACAGAAGGTGCTAGGAAAGGGGAAAGGTAGCTGTTCTTGTGGGGAATGAAAAAGGTTGCAGCAGTCAGTGATGGCCAACAGGATCCCTCGGCGGCTGTGCGCGGATTTCACTGGCCAGTGCCTTCAGTTCCCTGGCGTGGGCTGAGCAGTGACTCTCACATACAGTGACTGGACCGGGCTGTGCACGTTGGGATGTCTACCTCCAGCTCTCAGGGGAAGCGGGCACTGCCCGTGACCCTTAAACCGAATTAGAAACAATGATGACAATGCCGCCCACTCGATGCAACCTGAGCAAGTGCCTTTCATGTCTGCATGCTGGCCTGGACCCCCTGTAAGGATTTCACGTCTCCCCTTCCCCACTCCTTCCCAGGGGCTCAGGCGAGCGCCCGTGTGCCTCGTGGGAACTGAGCACCCACAGTCTGTCGGTGTTCCTGACTCTCGAACACCATTAAGAAGAATGGGGGAGGGAAACCGTGGGCAGTAACAGGAGTGCATTCAAACACCGCGGAGGGAGCCGACAGTGCTGGCCACGGGAATCATTTACGGGGGCTTTAAGGTGTTCCCATGCCGACTCTGTGGTGGCAAGGGGCTGTCAGTGTTGCCCTCAGCCCTGGAATATACTGGCTTCGGAGTGTCGTTCAGGGCGCAGAGTGAATACGCATCTATGTGGCGCTCCGGGTTCAAGCCCCTGCCGAGGGCTCTCCGCTGCCCCAGAACCCGTCTAGGTTCCTTAGCGATGGCTTTGGGGGCTCCCGAGGTCCAGCTGTGCCCCTCCCCCAAGGGAAGCGTGTTTCTGAGCTTCTTGCTGCCTTGCCTTTGGCTTTGTCCACCCAGAGTCCCCGAGTGCCCAGCCTCTGCCAGCGCCCCCCGGGCTGCCCCTTCCCCTCAGGGAGTGAGCAGAGGGCACTCTGGGAGGCCCGGTGGTCCCGAGTGGGGACCCTGCTCCAGTGTCCCATCCAACTCCTGTCATTGCTGCTTCAGTATCACGTGTGCCTTTTTGGTGACAGTCCTCTCACGGTCGAAACTCCGGCTTAGACCATGGCAGGTAATCGGAATGTTTACTGAGTGAACGCTGGGCTCTGGGAGCCAATCCTGCAGTGCGCTCTGCTGAGGGCTGTAGGGGGGCTGTGGGGGCCGGGAGTGGAGCACTCTGTTTTCTCACACTCAGCAGCGTCTCCCATGTTAACGGCTGTCGGGCAGCCGCTGCCCCATTCATCCAGGGCTGCAGTGTGGGTCCTGGCGACGTGGGGTGCAGTGTGCACCGGGGGAGACTGGTGAGGGGCCTCAGGGCGCAGTGCGTGGATGGCTGTGACTCCTGCCATCTGTCACTGCCCAGGCAGTGCCACGGGTGCCATGAGGTAGCCTAGCAGAGCTTCGTAAACGGCACACACGGGCCCCTGGCGTCTGATTAACTCGTGGATTCTCTGGGCCCAGCCCGATTCCGCATGGCTAACCAGGTGATGGGATGATTGATTTAGGAATGGAATCTCCCTGAATGCTCACAGAACAATACCTCTGGGAAGCTGGGGTTTAAAATAATTCTCGTGGGACCTCTGCTATTCACACAGATCGCCCTCCCTCTGCGCCAGGCACTGCTTTCAGTGCTTCCGGTCTTCCCGGTTCCTTCTCACGGCCCCTCAGGAGGCGGTGGGCGCTGCGCACGGGGCGTGGAGCTGGGGAGGCAGCACTGCCGGGCCTGGCGCTTCCCTGCAGCACCTGGAGCTCCTTGGGTTCCGACCGCGCGGCCGGGAGAGCGGATGCTCCATCTAATGGCGCCCACTGCGCGGCAGGAAAAGAACAAGTATTCTTACAGTTCAAATGATTTCAAATGTATTATAAAATATCGCCACAAGTAAGTGGCATGGTCTCACCTTTTATAATTCACTGGCAGGCCTTTAAAAGATGCAAATCTACTTGTTCCTTGCGGCTTTGATTTTGAGGCTGACAGCCAGCACGCACTGACTGGCCGGTGGGAGCCTCAAGGATGCGGCACTCCAGTCAGGCTCAGGGTGTGGGGTTCGCAGAGAGCGTAATCAGAGCATTGGGCTGGTTTGCACACTGACTAACAACTAGCCAAGAGTCGTTTAGGACAGAAAGCCTGGAGCCTGCCTGCTTGTCTCTCTCCATCCAGCCACTCGCCCACGGA